AACTTTCCATGGTGAATATTTCGCTTTGAATAGTGCCCTTGGAAGTTGATTGAGAGCTGTAATCCTTACTACAAAAGTTTTCTATTTGTACATATAAACCCTTAATTAAATCGCAATATGATTGTATTTCAATTAGTGCCTTACTTTTAATTTGTTTACTTTCTATCTCTTTATTTAAAATTATCAAACAATTATCAAATTCTTTACGTAATTGTACTGATTCCTTAAATTTTTGTTGCAAAATGCTTTTAGTTCGCTTATCATAACTTAATTTAACTAAATTATTTTTAATATTTTTAAATTTTTCATATATTATTATTAATTCACTAGACATGGAAATACAGTTAAAAAAAAATCGTTATCAAAACATTTTAAGGTGTATACATATAAGGCTATTTTTATTTTTTTTTTAAACTTAAACTATAACATATTTTTCAATTTAAACCTCATATCTTCAACTTGACGCATTCGTTGTCTCACGGCGGTCCTCGTGGCGGCATTCACAGCATGCACGGGGTACACGAGGTCCTGGGTCCGGTGACCGCACAAAAGAACGACGCAAGTTGTGCATTACCATCTCATTCCGCATCCAGCTTGTATGGCAACTTTTGTATATTTTGTATACACCGTAGAGAAGAGCCAAGCCCAAAACTGTGCATATTATAATCAGCACGACGGATCTCCCAGATAAGTGGCTTTTAATTTCTTCTACATGTGCAGAATTTGAGCCTCCTGAAGTGTCTTGCGTAATGAACACTTGGTCTTTCTTGAGTTCAGAACGACACATTTTTTTTTAATATAAGTTCAATATTATTTATTATTCATTTTTGTACTTAATTTGAATTCCACATATTTTTGAACGCGGCCCGCGACCGAACCCAGGCAGACCGCCGATGAACTGGCAGGGTCGCCATGTAGTGTTGGGCGGTTCGGGAAATAAATAAAACGTCCAGTAGTCTAGACTGTAGGTTTAATACTAATCCTCTCTTATTATATCCTACACAAATATATATAAGCACACACTACAAAATGTCAGATGTGTTTAGGTGATTGATGTTGTGTAATAAAGTTGTGTATTGCCTGACTTTGTTCGCTGTCCATCAGGTTATTGGAAATGGATTTTAATGAAGAAAATGTTTGATGCGTTTCAATAAAAAGCACAAAGGTAAACATTGTGTAAAATAAAAAAAATCCTTCACTTATTATAAATGTATTTATATATAAAGAAAGCCATTGATTTCATTTAAATAATCGATTTTTAATTTACTGTTAAATATACACGTACATTGTATTATAGTAGTTATTAATATTTTTACATACATATGTAAAACTTCACGCGCTGTATAGTTATTATGTTAAACAAGAATCAATTTTTGTAACATATATATGCAACAAAATTGTTAATTCTCAATTAAGGAATATTTTAAATTGTATTATAATATTTGATTATTATAATACAATTTAAAATATATATGATATTATAATTTTTGATTTTTAATCAAAAATTACAGTGCATAGAGAAACACGGGCCACCGGCTTACCGGAGAAGAATAGACATAAGAGAGTTTTTTATCGATACCGAACTGCGACATTTTGAAATTGAAATCTGCGCACAAAAAAACAATTGTCTGTCACTACGAAACTCAAGCATAATAATTATTAAAATAATAAACTAACAATTTCACATTGTAACAGTATCCTGCGGTGACAGCGACAACTGGGATGAGTCGCTCGACCAATCTGCATAACGTATAAGGGCGAGCAACCTGTGTTGGTGAACAAATCTGAAATAACATGATAGCTATTATTGTAATTATTAAGTTTAAAAAGAAGTAATGTCATTAAACATCAATTTTACACGAAACGCCCTCTTTTTGTACATTTTACGTGGCAGAACCTCTTTTGCAGCAAAAATACTGAACAACTCGGCGTTTTTGTATAACGGGGATTCAGCCGCGCAACTAGATTTAATCTAGTGAGCGACTCAACATATTTTCGTGACAAATATTTGTAACAAAAACTGTTTTAATTCTCACTTAAGGAATTTCTTAAATTATAATTGAGATTTTTAATCAATAATTATAACACATAGAGCAACACGGGCCACCGGGAGGGGAGTAGCCATAGCGTTTGTTCTCGATACAGAAGTGTGTCATTTTGAAATTGAAATCTGCGCACATAAAAACAATGTCTATCACAACGAAACTCAAATATAACAATTATTAAAATAATAAACTAATAATTTCACATTGTAACAGTATCCTGCGGTGACAGCGACAACTGGGATAAAGACTCGGATCAGTCGCTCGACTGGTTCGCATAATGTATTAGGTTGAGCGGCCGGTGTTGGTAAGCAAATCCGAAACAACACGACTGTTAATATTGTAATTATTAAGTTTAAAAATAAGTAATGTGCTTAAAAATTACTACATTAAACGTGACAGATCTCTTTTTACAACAAAAATACTGAACAAGTCTGCATTTTTGTATAACGGGGATTTAGCCGCGCAACTAGATTTAGTCTAGTGAGCAGTGCGGCTGTATCTAGTTTTACTGCATGCATAGGACCGCGAGGACTTATACTTTGACAGAAGGGAACCTGCGTATGGCTACTCCCCTCCGGTCCGCCGGTGACCCGTGTTAGGTACTCTATGTTATAATATCATCTACTAAAAGATTTTTACAATGGCGTTGTATCTAAGTAAGTATAAAAAGTGCGTTTTCATAACATTTGCAACTAGTATTTGGTAGTATTAACAGATAAGATTACACGAGTGTAAGACATTGGATTTTATTTATAGTGACTTATGTGGACATGTTAATAGGAATTCTCAATTAAATCGAATAGATGCATATAGGATCAGATTGACTACCGATATATTAATGACAACGTGTGATTGAAGCGACACAATGGTTAACACTAAAGTCAATTCAAGTATTTCAGGTACACCTTTAAATAATTTCATTGTTCAGTTTTAATAATAATAACACATTAAGTATTTGTATATTAAATAACAAAAATTTAATTTCTAACGGAAAACCACATTAAAATATAATTTATAATATATGCTCCTAGGTGCTAACTACCTAATTAAAAGCCAGCGAAAAAAACCATCCAAAGAAATGGTGATAATCGTACAACACACAACATTACATTTAGATAAACATTATTTCATTGCCAGATAGTAAATTAACAATGGAACGTATTAAAAATAATTTATGCGATTATTTAAAAAAAAAGCTTAGAACCGAAGTAGACCCGGTTATTTGGTTAAAGAATACAAATGTTAGGACCTTAGTACTTTCGAAAATGTAAAATTTCAGTATTATCGTTACGGTCTCTAAAATCAAAATTGTATAGATTTAAATTAATGCCAAAATATACGTAATGCATAGAATTATAACGCACGGAATGATAATAGCCACATCAGACTGTGAGATGAATTAATGTGCGCTTAAATGGGGTGTAAATACGCAGTTCGACGCACACACACAAAGATAATAGTATAGCTGTTTACCCGAGAGTAATAAAAAATTACAACTTTTCCTTGCGGCTCGTCATAAATAGCTATAAAACTATAAATTATTTATTGGTAAGTTACTAGCCTGATAGCGGATAGACGACGTAGAAAGACATTCATGGCTTTATTCAAATTACCTCACAGGTAAGGAGGTTACACGGTTTCTATGCGTTATCATTATATTATGTAAGAGTAGTTTTAATAATTGTGTATATATGTCGTTTTTAAATAATTGATTCCTTCTTTACAAGTTGATTGTAGAAAAATCTATAAATAAGGAGCATATAAGTAAACTTAAAATCACGATTATAGCCTTACTTCCATTTGCGCTATTAAAATGAGTAACAGCGGAACATTAAAAGGGATCAAACATACATAGGACATAACCTAACGACTAGGGGGGCGTCCATAAATTACGTGAGATGTTTAAGGGGGGAGGGGGGTCGAGTCAAATCTCATCTAATCTTACGTTGGAGACAGGGGGGGTCTCGGCAAATATCACGCAATTTTTTCTGATTGAAATAAAAAAAATTATACCATTTTGGTCCATTTAATCCAGATTGTACATGCTTAAGATTAAATTTTTAGCGTATATCGTAATAAGATTAACCACTACTGAAATTTCAGATTATTAAACCAATTAGTCAAACCTATAGTCAAGCCAAAGAGTATAGTAGGTTTGGCCAAAGACAATTTTTTTAAACATTTCATAGAGCATTTTAAACAATATGATTCGGACGCAGTATTTATTGTGACTAATGCCCCTGGCAGGAGCGCATTCAACAGAGTAGAGAGATGCATGGCTCCACTCAGTCGAGAACTAACAGGCGTTGTTCTTCCCCATGATTCTTTTGGGACACATCTTGACTCTAGCGGCAGAACATTAGACGAAAGTCTAGAAAAGTATCATTTCAATAAGGCAGGAAATTTTGGCTGAAATATGGTCTGCAGTGTGCATTAACAGACACGAAGTAGTCGCTAAATATATAGACCCGAATAATGATACTTCTAGCGTTCCAGACCTGCCGGCTGAAGAATGGTACACTGAGCACGTTAGAGAGAGAGAGCCAATATTTACTCCAGGTACATTGCAGTTGGTTCATATCAAATTTTTATGCGTGCCTATTTTATTTTATTTTTAAATGTTTAACGAGCGCGAATGTCAACAAATTTTTGTTAAGAGTTACAAAGGGAAATTGGTCTTAATTTTTTTTAGGTTGTGAAATGCGATGACCAGAAGTGCTGCAACCCACGCCGGAGTAATCTGCGTATGATTCTTCATGACCGTTTTTTGCCACCTCCATACCCTATCACTCAGGTTGATGGACATTTGACAATTCCGGACTTTAAAGAGGATGACGTAAAGTCATTTACTCCATTTCTAATACGCTACTGCCTACCGATTCAACCGCTGAATGCCTTCATCAGCACGCCTTATAATCTCTATTGCCCAAGTGTACGTGATAATTTAGAGAAAAGATGCTGCAGTACATGTGGTATTTATTTTGCATCTATCACACAAGAGCTGCAGAGCACAGGCGAGCAGCCCACAAGCAAGCGCGAATGCTCCGCAAAGTGCGACCCTCACGGATTATCACAAGACGAGCTAACGAGTTACTATGCGCAATCGCCAACGGCTTAGAGTGGCTAGATAAGAACGAAGTTGAAGGAACAGATGATTTTACCGAAAATCATAATATGGACATGTTGGTTCCAATAGTCTCTCTTGAGAGCGCGCATGATTCTCCATGGACTGAATTAGAGTAGATATTCCTTTTTTTTAATCACAGTAGTCACGATTTAAGTATTGTATCGTTAAATTTTTATTACACTTATAACTTTCAGCAATATTGATTACTAGTCTTAACTAGTCGAGTACTAATAAAAGCACGAAGCAATTTTTTTTTCTTTTTATAATAACAATCCAACGCGTTTACGTAAGAAACCCACATTTTGAAAGATCTCACGTGAGATTGAGGGATGGGGGAGGGGGTTGAATAAAATCTCACGACATCTCACCATACAGAAAATTTAAAAAAACACCTCACGTAATTTATGGACGCCCCCAAGCGCAAATATTATAAAAGCATTTCATTTCTGATATAAAAATATGTTTTTTTTTTCATATTTAAAACACATTTATACGTGGTAGAGCCATGCTGCAGCTATATTAATTATGTAGTTGTAACACGAATGAGTCGGCTCGACCGGGGAAGGACCACGCTCTCACAGAATACCAGCGTGAAATAGTAGCCTAATGCTGCTGTATTTCGTATGGTGAGTGTAGAGAACCGGAGACCCTTTTTACTGGAAACGAGGCATTCCATCTTAGTCCTCACGGGTGACAACGCATCTGTATTTGGTTTTGTAATCGAGGATACATGTAGATGTCTATGGGCCGCAGCAACCACTTACCATCAGGTGGACTGTGTGCTCGTTTGTCACCCTATTCTATAAAATAAAAAAATAAAAAAAATAAAAAATACAACGGGTAAATATTAACTTTATATGTATACATCAATTAAAATGAGTAAAAATACCTAAAATATCTCATTATCTCACAAATTAAAAACACATTTAAATAGATAATATGTGTGGTTCCCGTTAACTGCGTTATCAGAATCAGTATCCAAGCGTATAGATATAATTTTATTTCAAAAAACACATTTAAAAAAATTAATTTTAATGAAAAAAAAAATTATTTTGCATATTATTTGTGGTTTTATTTCCTCTAATTCACACAAGTATCGGTAATGCGGGGTCTTTGACAATCCTCTTACTCCTCGGCTAATGCAGAGATAATAAAATCACATACAATTTGCAAATAATTTTTTTTCATTAAAATTATTTTTTAAATGTGTTTTTTCGAAAAAAAAAATATTTCTATACGCTTGGATACTGATTCTGATAATGCACTTAACGGGAACCACAGGGTTTTTGTTACATGTTGTATATGTACTAGGGCTGGTTTTCGGCCTTTTGGTGGAATTGTCAACTTTAAGGTACAATAAAAAATAATAGACATTATGTTGACCTAGTGCTGTTAATGTTAATTTGTAGCTTATATAATGTAGTTTTCATTTTTATAAGTCATTGAGGCTACAAAAGAAACCTATTTTTTTATAATAATTTTTGATGTGAAAAATATGCAAAACGCTAGTTTTCGGCCCCAAAATTTAGATTTCGCTCTACAAGAATTTTAGTTTTCGACCACTGTATTAGAAGAGGTATAGTACGTTTCTAGGGCAGGCGGAAAAAAGTACATTGACCTCAAGTATTATGTTAGCATCAAAACAAAACGACAGTTACTGCTACCATACATTTATTTATAGATTACGCATTGTTATGCGCTAAGCGTGTCTCATGGTACGGGGTAGGGTCGCAGGTGGGCGAACGAAGCAGTCATTCAGGGATAATAAACCTGTGTCTCACGCCGTGCGTATTCGAGAAAACGGATGGAGCAGAACTCATTCCTCATTCTGCTTTGGGATGCGCTTGCGTGTAGATAGTTTGAGATTTAAAATTTTCGGTTATAGTAGTTGTTTTAATTTTTATTAAGTTTGTTCTGTTAGTTGTATTATAACGTTTTGTATTAAAGAATTTGTTATTGTTTTGTGACGTTTCGTATATTATCACTATTATGAAATCGGGTCCATCGACATGTAAATCTCATAAAGACTTTACGTCACTACGAAAGAAGCGGAAATTGTCGCATATTTCGGTAACCGAAAAATTAATGATTGTAAACATCTATAAATATGTAAAAGAAACGTCTAGTGACGTATATCCATCCAAAACGGATATGAAAAAGAAGAGCATTTTAGGTTATAATCAAAGTGACGGACTCTTCTACATCTACATCATAAAATAATTCTGAAATATATACAGATGAATAGTCTGTCAAGTGTTTCTGACAATCTTTTATGAGAAGTTTTATGTATGTTTCAAGGTTGGCTGCTGAAGAATGCTTAGCATTAAAAGTTCGTCTTTTTACCTACCTACCTACTTATTAAAGTACTTACATACTACTAACGTTATAATGAAAATTGTAATAACTTATGATTTATAAATAATAAACTTAAATTATTAATTTGATTTTTAATTAATTTAGGTACAGGATAATCTTCTTTCTTTATTATATAATAATAGACATAGAGCCTGTAAAGAACTTCGCAATCGATACCCTTGTCTTTCACTCTGATGATGTATGTAATGATAAAAGCCCCGATGCCTACCCCAATGATATCGTCAAAGGTCAATGAACTTTTTCCGCCTGCCCTAGAAACGTACTTATAGTACAAACTTAAAAGTGTTTTTGTAAAATCAGAAAATGACAGAAAAATAACGGTTTGGAAAATCGGTGTATTTATTTTTTCAATCGGTGCTTGCGATTTTTTAACCGTAACGTTATTTTTTCATTTTGGGGGTGGTTTTGATATAAGAAACCATAATTAATTATTTTTCTTTGAATCTCATAATCTAATTATAAAATCTTTTAAATATAGCAATCAAATCTTCTCATTTACGAGTATTTTGTACTTCCTCATAAGTATTTTAGTTCAACAAAATCTGTTACCATCTCTAATCATGAAGTACATCTCAAATCCATTTGGTGCAAAAGTCACATCCAATATAATGATTTCTTATATGTATTTACGCGAACACTACACATTGATTAAAACTACTTTTACGGATTTTATCACGTTTAATTTCAATTGATTTTTTCACATCACATCCAATATTTTTTCCGGATCTTCTTCTGTATCGTTTTTTAAAATATTATGACACAAAGCGCAATTTACTCTTACCCTTTTCTCCTTCATAGATTTCTTGGATTTAGCTATTTTTCGTATTTTAACTTTAGCACTCTTTATTTTTCTTTTTCTATTTTTTTCCTTTTTCAAAATATTTTAGTTCTTACTTCTTTTTTTTAACTTTCACTTATCTTCATAAAATTTTCGCCATACCGCAGACGAAATTGCTGCAGAATAGGGTGCACGTGTACTGTAAGCAGTTAATTTTTTTACGGGTTACGGTTTAATTAAATGTTTTTTTCTATTGCATCTCTATATTCTTTATTTAATAGTACTGAAACCAACGTTCCACTAGTTTGTAGAGGTGTACTAGTCTGTTTAGTTGAAATATCAACCCACACATTTTCGAAAGTTTCAGAGATCTTGTATGTTATCGTCGATGTTTGTAGTGGTATCATCGTAGTCATTTGAGTCGTTATTGTTTCATTACTGAAATCTATTATCATTTCAGGCATTCTCAGTACTGTTGTCGTTGGTAGGCTTATTTGAGTTTGGATTATAAGAACATTATATAACGATACTTAGGAACCAATATTCAAATAACTTCCTGACAAATAGAATGTTGAAATTTTATTATAGATTAACGATTCTGATGCATCGGTAGATGAATAAATAGTTACCACAACACCATGAGTTAGAATATTTTTATCTTGATCTGTGTTGCACAGATTTTTGGAGACTGAAATGAACTTAGCGACTCATATTGCTTAATTGGAGAATTTCCAAGTCTTCGTTGGCCTGTCTGTGTGGAACAATATTGATCTGAGAAGACTTTCGTTTCAATTTCCTTATCTCATTCACTATAATAGCAACTTTTATTTTTTTTCTGCCAAAGTTGATTTAAAATGTTTCTAAACTTTTCTAGTGGAAACTAGTTCTGCGTTAGTTATTTCTTTAGAAATATTTATTCTTTCTTTCAATTATTACCTATTAGTCTTTCGAAGGTTTTCTGGACTCAATTTGAGTAATCCACTGCATTAAGATCTATTTAATAAATTTTCTGAAGCCCTTTACTTATTATATTTCCATCATCACCATAGGAGCCATCTGAAGAAAAAAAAATTCTTGTTGAATCTTCTTCCTAAAACGCAATTTGAATAAAATATTTGATGAAATGGCCGTAAACGTAAACTAAGATAGCATTCTATTTTCCGCCGCCGTATTCTTTCATACAATTTTAAGTTGGCCGAAAACTAAATAAATATTTTAGATTCAACCCAGTTTTCGGCCAAACCTGAAATGGGTATTTTTGTTTCGTCACTAACTGTTCAAATTGCAGTAATTGGTGGCCGAAAACTAAAATTTAGTGTCTACGCACGCTACGATTCAATATAAGTAAGAAAGATAAATTATAGTACGTAACCAAATAAACGAAAGAGAAAAAGTATTTAGGCTAAACTCAGGCTACTTTTCGGCCGCATGGCCGACAACCAAATAATGGGACAATTTTATGTGTCACTTTTCGGCCACTTAATTTTTTTATTAACTTTATCAATAAAGTATTATAATAACACTGATTATAGTGTCAAATAACTGTATTGGGTTATTTATACAGTGAAATATAAGCACAATATTAAGTAATTCTTTTAAATACAGCACGAAACTTACTTTTGAATGGAACGCGCGCCACTATTTTTTTGCTCGATCTTACCCGTTTTGACAGCTTCTATGCCGGCGTCGAACTAAACTATTTATTATAAATCGCGTATTGTGTTTATCTGATTAATTAATGCTACCCGATATAGTGCAACTAATTACAAATGCATTAAACTTTATTTCGTACGATAATATTTATTAAAATTGTTATTAAATCAAATGTACTGCATCACCTCCTGCTAAAGGCCGAAATCTAGACCAGGCCGGCTTACCGGCGCAACGACAGCACTAGATATGGAATTCCGAACACTCACTATGTTCAACTGAACTGTACTGCAATCCGTATACATGTTATTG